TATTAATCCTATATCACATGTGTAGCTGGCAAAGAGTCTCTCCCAAATCTGTAAAATATCATCACCCAGTTGATTTCAGTTTTCTAAAACCCACCTGTCAATTGCTGGCTTTAGTTCTTAGGCAAATAGTGTCTTTCTTATTCAGAAAGTTCTCTCTTACGAAACATCTATATCCCATAAGGCACTGCCTGTTTTCCTCTATCAGTTTTTGATGTTTTAGGGTTTCACATTTAGGTCTTTGATCTACTTGGAGCTGGTTTTTGTGAAAGGCGATAGAGATGGCCTGACTTGGTTATTTTACATGTGGACACCTTGTGTTCTTATTTGTAACCCTTTTATTTCTTTCCTGCTTGTTTTAAGTAAGACACTGAACACTGTATTGATTAAGAGTGGAGAGACTAGAAATACTTGTCTCATCACATATTTGAAAGGAAAGTCTCTCAATCTGTCCCCATTTAGCACCATGTTATATACAGGCATTTTGTCATAGATATCCTTTACTTGGTCATGTTCTTTCATTTTTTTATTTTAGAGAGCACTTGGAGAAATATTCTGTCTTCTATGAAGGGTTAGCAAGATTCAGCAGGGAACATATCTGAACCCTGACTTTTCTTGGTTGAGGGGTTGGAGAAGTGTATTTTTTGTTGTTGATGATGATGGTGTCTTAAACCTTATTTACTGTCTGTCATTAGTTAGGGTTTCTATTGCTGTGACCATGACCACAGCAACTCTTATAAAGGAACCCATTTAACTGGGGCTGCCTAACAAGTTTCAGAGGTTTAGTGTTGTAGAATATTATTTTAAGGTATATTACTTTTGTTTATGCTCCGGAACATTTGTTTAATGATGCAAAGATGTGTTTGATTAAATAAAATTTACCTGTAGTTAGAAGGCTGAAGTCAGCAACTAGCTGACAGGAAGTTGTAGGGAGGAGGCAGGTGGAAAAGGGTTTTTAAGAAGCGGCCATGAGAAGCATGAGAACTTCTTGAGAGAAACAAGGATGTGAGCTAGGTAAGCTGCTTGCTATTCAGCCTTTCTGGAGAGCACGATTCTACCTCAACCTTTGAATACTGAGTTCTTTAGAGAGACAGAAATTTAAATAGGTTCCCTCTGTAGCAGTGAAAGAGTGTGTGCCTGAGGGAATAGAATTTCCTCAAGCTATGGCTCTTGCAGCCTAACCATTGCTGGAAGCAGCAGAACTACAGTTGCTGACTAGGACAGCCATAGCTCAAAAAGAGCAATAATTAAGAACAAAGGACAACAGTTTAGTCTATTATCACCATGGCAGGAAGTAAGGCAGCATGCAGGCAGGCATGGTGCTGGTGAGTTCTCCATCTTGATCCACAGGCAAAAGGAAGTGAACACACTGGGAAATGCTTGAGCATATTAGACCTCAAAGCCTACCCCCACAGTGACATACCTCCTTCAACAAGGCCATACTCCAACAGGTCACTCCTCCTAAGAGTGCCAGTCCTTATTGGGCAAGTATTCAAATATAAGTCAATGGGGGCCATACCTATTCAAACCACCATACTTTCATAGGTCTTTTAGTTTGTTTATATCTTCTTGATCTAATTTTGCTAGATCACATAGGTATAGGCATTTATTTCTTCTGTGGTTTCCTTTAATTGATTCTTTGGGAATTTTACATCATGCACCCTGATCATACTGATTTCCCATTCCTTCCATTTCCTCCCAGCTTGCCTTGTGACACCCCTTCCAACTAAAAAAAAAAAGGCCAATTTGTGTTATGGTCAAACTCTCAGTGGCCTGTCATTCCTCCACCTCCCCAAGAAGCCATCAACTGTGCAGAGTTAACGTCAGAATCCTTATCACACTCCCTAAGAGTTCTCTTCAATGGCTTCTTATTTTGGCTGTTACACTTTCGCGGGGGAGGTTGGAAGGTAGGGTTTGTCACAGAAGCCTTCCATGTCTATCCCTCTCAACTGTGTGACTGCAATCATTGATATCACTGCAAAAGTGGCTTCCTTGCTCTTTACAGCAAACAAATTACAGGAGCACAAGTCATGGGCTTCCACATGATTTCTGGCAATAGCACAGAACCTGGCTGCAGTAGGAACACTGACCCAGACAAGGCCTTCAGAAGTAGCCTGAACCACAGACATCAACTTGGCCTCAGGTGGCAATGCAGTTCACTCACAACAATATGGCCCCCAGAGGCAATTTTCAGAGTACCTTCTAATGATTGTCCTGATTTCATGAGAAACTGTGATTACATTCTCTTTTCTATCTCTAATCTTATTTAGTTATTATTTTTATGCATGTGTATGCATGCATTTGTGTGTGTGTGTGCACGCTCGTGCGCGCAGGGGCACATATGTGCAGTTGCTCACTGATGCTATAAACGGGAGTTAGATTCCCTGGAGCTACAGTTACAGATGACCCTGAGCTACCTAATGATGGCAGTTGCTTTAGGAAACTCTAGAAAGGCAACACAACCTCTCTTAACCTCTGAGTCATCCCTATAGCTCCCTTGTCTCCAGTTTATTTAATCTGAATCTTTTCTTTCTCCTTCTTTTGGTTATATTGGGCTATTTATTTAATATCTTTTATCTTTTATTTTATTGTCACTTATTTATATTTATATGTATGCCATGGTGCATGTGGAGATAAGAGAAAAGCATTCAGAAACTGGTTCTTTCCTTCTGCCACATAGGATCTATGGAGTTAATTCAGCTTTCCATGCTTAGTGTGAAGCACCTCTAACTACCTAACCATTTCACTGGCACCCAGAATTTTTAATATAAACAGTCATAGCCATAAGCTTTCTTCTTTCGGGGGGGGGGAGGTCTTAGGCATATCCCAAACATTTCCATTCATTTGACTCTAAGAACTTTTTTTTGCCTGTTTTCTCAATGACCCACTGGCTATTCAAAAGCATAATGTGGAGAAGTGCTACAGGTTACCACATTTGTAACAAACAAACTTGAATAAAGAAACTGGAAACAAATTTGTCTTCAGAAACCAACAGATATTCCACCAGTAGCAATGCAAAACAGTCTTACATGGGTCTATACCATCAACCCTCAAGTCCAGAACGAACCTACAGCTCCTTATTCTACCTCTTGCTAGTATAGTAGTTCAAGACCTACAGATAAAAGCTTAAATATTCTCAAGATTGTTTTTCTTTGTTATGCTCAGTTATCAATTTTAAAACCATTAATATTTTCATTACATCACAGCATTATAATAAGTAATATATTGGGGTAAGGAGAGTCAGGTCTTGCTGTGAAAAAGGGACAAGTTAGAAAGGCTATGTTTTCAGACTGTAAACAGAAGTATATTTATAAGGTCAGACTCAAAGCTAGTGGTAGTAAGCCTTAACTATTCATTTCTAACTCTGTCCTCAAGTGCCTTCAAAGCAATGATACGATCAAATCTCTACCTGAAGAAAACAGGGTCTCTTAAAAGAAATGGCTAATGGGAAACTGGGGAGGGAAGAAGTGGTATGACCTGCCAAATGTACAAAGTGATGTGACATTTCAAAAGGACACAGTAGCAGAGTATAGGGACTTCCCAGAATGAAATATGAGATAAGTTAAGGTTCAAAAATAAACAATGAAAGTAGTAAATTATAATATTTTAAGGAAAACAGAAATGCATGAATCTAATATAAATACATAAGTGAGAATGAACCTAAAATTCTCTTTTAAAATATTTTAAAAGTGCCAAAAACAGACATTATAGAGAAGATGCAGTCAGGAAGCCAACATTTGATAAGTATCACACTAAAACATTCAAATATCATTAGTAGATGATAAAACTAATAGATGAAGAATTTCCAGGGACAGTTTGACAAAAAATAGGGTAACTATATAGACTTAAAGTACCTCTCCAAAAATACCTATAAATTCAAAAGGGAAAAATAGTAAGTTTATAAGAAACAAAATTAGAAGATAAGACCATTACTTGACATTATCCATATGTGATAACTGGGCAGACATGTTATTTCTCTTTCTGTAACCCACTGAGAACTCCTGCCAAAACTGTAGCATCTGTTATATCTGGATGATGGCTGCATTAATATCTGTCCTTATTGCTGCAGTATGTGTTCGACATGTTAAGAAATTACAATGAAATATTTTAAAGTTTTTAACAATTCAAAGCATCTAATACCCTCAAACTCCCCAGTATGTGGCTGTTCACAAACGAGAGAGTTTCTGGAGTACTTGATCCTAACAAATGAATAGTGCATGAGAGTGTGGGCAGTAAAATCATGAGAAGGCTGATCTCTGCCTAAAGTCATCCCTTTCAACTTTCCTCAGTCTAGCCTTGATTTCTATCATTTTCCTCACTGTGATTCCTTCTCCCAGGGCCAATAAATGTATAAAAATACAGTAATATCAGAGTACTATATACTTCTGCCTTGTCACTGAGTAAAATCATACTTACTATTTATATTCATTATATGTTTTATGAACAAATCATGTACTTCAACTGGCTGAATGAAATTTTGACAACTTACTATGCTGACAGTTAAGATCTCCAAGAGATGGACCTGATAAACCATATTTGGTATTTCAATCACAGAAGCTTCTTTTTCTTTTTTACACTAATTTGCAATGAGAACGACTGACACATTCTCAAATCAAACTTTTAGAAATAAAGTGTGCAAGACCGGCTTTAAAAGCAGGGAGAAAGTCTGCACTTCATCTGTACACAGGGCTGAAACTTCTAGAAGCTGCCACTGTTCCTTTTTACTGAGTGTGGAGTCAGACTACACACCTCAGATTTCCAGGTGGCTAAGATCAGCCATCATTGAGCTCTAGCTTCCAAGCCTGGCCTAAAGAGCTTTCATCCATTTTCTCTGTTCTCTTCTGCTAGCTAGAGGCAAGCACACATGTAGGAAGAGAAATTCTGCAGTACACGGCCACTGAAAATCAGTGTTCTGACTGTTACTTAACAGTTGCTGTCGCATGAATGAAACGTACAACAGTAAGCAGTCGTCCAAGTGTCCTCATCAGACATTTGCTACTTACAAACTGAGGCTTGTAGTACGCTGGGCCTATTGTGTCATCACCAGCAGGTGGTGTGCGCTTCCTGATACTGTCATCGTCATTGAGATGATAGCCGTGTGACTTTCCAGGAGAGGGAATTGAAGGAATATCAATGCTCCTGAAAACTGCAGGTGCTCTAGAAATTTTCTTTAAACATAAAATGTTTGTGAGGAAGACATTTTATGTTATTCAGAGACAAGAAGAAAGAATAAGAACAAAATATTATAATTTACTAAAGGCAATCATTAAATATAGATTTAATGAAGTACATAATACTAACCAAAAAAATGTCTTATTGAAGGAGTGCATTCAAACTTTAGCACATCTAAAGTCATAGACACTGTTAAAGCCACCATAAGATCCAAGGACTTACTTTTTTGTTGTTTTTTGTTTTGGTTTGTTTTGGTTTGGTTTTTGGTATTTCAAGACAGGGTTTTTCTGAGTGACAGTACTAGCTGTCCTAGAACTCGCGCTGTAGACCCAGTTGACCTTGAACTCACAGAGATCCACCTGCCTCTGCCTCCTGAGTGCTGGGATCAAAGGCATGCACCACACCACCAGGCTAAGGATTTACTCTTAACTTGGTCAGCTATTTATCTTTCTTAGTAGAGCAAATAGTACTGATTTTAAAAATGATAAATAACACAAGGCATTGCTGCAGCAACATCAGACACTATGAGAGTGTCCACTATACAGAACAATCCTGAGTTCATTCCTTTAGTTCATTTAGTAACATTTCCAGCCTTCATTCCCTGCAACTCTTGACTATCTGCATATGACCTGTAACTTGTACACATGTGCTAACTGTACAAGCTACAATGCAGAAAAATGTCTATGAGATGACGCTAAAGTGGATGGAAATGAATCAACCCCATTTATTCCTATGGTGTGCATCAGGTGTAAATATGTAATAAATAATAAAATGTAGGCTTTAATTCTGAAAGGACTATGGCAAAATTGACAATCTTTATATTAAGTGAGAGCTTTTTTGAAAAGGTTTTACTTCCATGGAAAATAAACAGAGGTATAAGGGTATATACTTTTTAAAAGTATATATCAAACAAAACATGGCCATTTAAAGGATTTAGTTGTGTAGAGTAAAATAATGTGAGATTATGCTGATCACTGTATTTTCTGGACAAACAAATGGATGCCATGGTGTATGCACACATGTCACACACAACAGAAAGGCTGCACTGCTAGAGATGCTTTTCACTAGAGACATCAGCTTAGCAGCTTCAGTGGCATTTAAAAAATAATTACAAAATTAAAACAAGAATGCATTAAACAGTCTTCTTTCTATTCAGTACTCTCAAAAAGGACACATCAAAGGTTTCAAAAACAATGTCCTTTCCTTCCTGGAGATTCTGTTCATGTTCATCTCTCAGATCTTGTACTTCCCACAGTCCACAGAACACTGCACTTCCCTCAGCCTACCCTGCCAATACACACTGCAGTCTGTGACCCAAGTGCTGTTCCACGACTACAGCGTTTCTAACCACCATGGGAATTCTTCTTTAGGACCAAATGAAATCATCATTCTCCTACTCCTCCAAAGATCCTTTCATTTTGGGATACTGGTGATCCTTTTATTATGGCTCTAAAGTAGTATTTCATCAGCTATATTGTCCCAAATTTTACCCCCTACTAAAATTGTGCTTCTTGTGATTTGCCTTCTATGTAATAAAGAATGTCTAGCATTATGTTCATTAAGTGACAGACATGGTCATTCAGCAATGTTTGACAATCAGTAAATGAACATCAGTAAATGTCCTTACACATGAAGAAAACTCAGTCTCACCTCTGCACTGACATTATTCAACTAAGACCTTAATCCTAAAATACAAGGGCTCTTTTCTCAGAACTGTTGAAAATATGATTAGTTTGAGCTATGTGAAATACTTGGAATAAAAATATAATCCTTCTTAATAAAAACATGGCCAAGCCCACATTAAATAATGTTATTTATTTCAACAGTGTATGGCTTTGGTACAAAAATAACTGATTCTATAACATGAATTTATTTTTCCAAATGCAATATCTATGACTCTCTTACAGAAATTCTTCACTTCAAATAAAATAATCTTCCTTTGCCTTCCATAAAAAACAATTCTGTGTCACTCATAAAGCACTCCATTCCCAGAATACATGTTCCAATGGCACTCGTCAAGGCTCATCTCCAAACTCCACTGTCCCGTTTGTCTTCTAGCAGGCAGCAGCCTTTAGATCCCTATGCATTTCAATGCATGATCACTCATCTGTCGCTTTTGAAATAACAACTACCTCTGTCCCCCATCTCAATTGTCAGCTTTCTTCCTTCAAGGAATCATGTTTTTGTTCTGTGCGGTTCTAAAGAAAGAACTCAGGGCCTCACACAGGCTGGGTAAATGCCCTCCAATACCAGATGACACCTTCAGCCCAGGAATCATGCTAATATTATTGTTTTGTTAACAGGTATTTGCACACAGTCACTAAAAAAAGTAAACTAGAGGGGCTGGAGAGATGGCTCAGAGGTAAGAGCATTGCCTGTTCTACCAAAGGTCCTGAGTTCAATTCCCAGCAACCACATGGTGGCTCACAACCATCTGTAATGGGGTCTGGTGCCCTCTTCTGGCCTGCAGGCATAGACACAGACAGAATATTGTATACATAATAAATAAATATTTTTAAAAAAGTAAACTAGATAAATGACCAGGCTTTAAACCTCTCTTCTTCCTGGTCACTGCATGTACTGTAGTTACAGAATAGTCGAGAATAAGAAAGGAACTCAATGATGTAGCTCAAAGGTGGAATTAATTATCTAGCACATACAAGGCCCTGGGTCCAATCCCCAACCATAAAAGAAAAAAGACTAAAGAAGGAAGCATGATGTTAATACAGTTAAAAACTACCCTTTATAAAAATTATTTAATATTATACTTATTTTATAATTAAATGAATATTAAATAATAAGGATTTTTTCTTTTTTCAACATCAGACAAACAGCTTAGGATTTCTTTTTTATGCTATCTAAAAGTTATTAGAAGCATAACTTAAAAAGTGACACATTGCAGATGTTCTTTAGTGTGGAGTACCTGTCTGCTCCTGGTGCACAATGTCCCAGGATAAGGTCGAACATAGCTTGCAGGTCCTGGACCATCCGAAGTAAGCTTCTTAAATCGTTTCTCTCGGTTTTGCAGACTATGGCCTCCTTTTATTTTATACTAAATTGAAGGTTGAAACTTATGAAGTAATTCAGGAAGTACTTAATATTTCCTATTTTGTAAATATAAAATATTAGCCAACAGTTTTAAAATGGAACCTGAGACAGTTAAGACCCTCAACTGAAAACAAGTTTTTCTAAAAGAGTATACTGAAATAACAATTGTAGTTATAACTTTTGACTCCAATCTCAGACCAAACTTTACTGTACTTTATGGTATTCTAAGGTTATACTATAAAGGAATTAAAGACAGGAATTTCCAGCCTCCCAAAAAGGGTCAAAATAGACTGTGCTGCATATCATTGGAAGAATGGATACTTAGGAACTGAATTTTCAGAATATTTCAGCAACAAGTCGGGCCTTCTGTGCTGACTAGTTTTATGTTAACTTGACAAAAGCTAGTCACTGAAGAGAAAGAACCTTAAATGAGAAAATGCCTCCATAAGAAATGGCTGTAGGCAAACCTACTGGGCATTTTCTTAGTGATTGATGGGGGAGGGCCCAGCTCATTGGGGTCAGCAGAAAATCTCTAAACTGGTGGTTCTGGATTCTATAAGAAAACAGGATTGAGCAAGCCATAAGGACTAAGCCAGTAGCAGTACTCCTCAATGACCTCAGCATCAATTCCAGTCACCAGGGCCTGGCCTTCAAAGATGAACAGGGATGTGTAAATGTAAGCCAAATAAACCCTTTCTGTAGTGATAGTCATTTGTGTTTAAACAAATAAAGCTTCTTGAAGATCAGAGTGCAGAGCTAAGCCATTAGAGGCCAGGTAGTGGTGGCACACACCTTTAATCCCAGGACTGAGGAGACAGAGGCAGAGGGATCTCTATTAGGTCAAGGCCATCTTGGACTACACTGATCCATCTAAAAGAGAAAACAGAGCTCACACAAAGGTGATCCCAGGTTCTGTGATCACACAGCTTTAATCCCAGCACTAGAGAGGTGGAGACAGGGGTGATATGGCTGGTTGGAGAGAGGAATATAAAATAGGAGACAGGAGCTCAATGCAGTCTGAGGACCAGTGCAGTCTGAGGATGCAGTCTGAGGACAGGATCACCCCTTTGGTCTGAGCATTGGTAGAAATAAGAACTCTCTAATGACTGGTACTCTGCTTCTCTGATCTTTAGCATTAACACCTATATCTAACTCTGGGTTTTTATTATAAATACCAATTAGAATTCATGCTAATGAATTCTGGCACACAACTTTTGGGGTACACATTCATGAGAAAGCCATTTGTCCGTGGCTTTGCAGCCACCCGCAAAGCCGGAGCTACACGCAGCCAGAGTCCTTCCCCTACTGGCTAGGTTTTCCTTTCTTCTCTCCTGGTGGGCTTTCCCTGGACCCCCTTCTCTGGCTGCTGCCAAACTAGGTCACCGCCTTGAAATCCAGTCAGGCTTGTACTGTTCTACACAGCAGCAGTCAGCCTCACATCTTCATCTTCATTGTTGGCAGATTTAGTGAGGAAACTGGGAATTCTTAAAGGGAGGAATTAGTTAAAAGAGTAATTTCCTCTGTTAAAAAATGGAAAACAATTACGACAGAGAAAGTTAGATCTCTGTATGATTGTGCAATGCTTGCACTTCCTGCTTACTCAGTAAATATTATTTCCTTCTTGGGTCTCTGAGAGTGTTGAAGATTAAGTATTTGTAGTTTTTCTTGTTTACTAGATGCAGAAAATAAATTCATTTAAAAAACGTAATATATATAAAGTTGAGAGACATAAAAACATAATTTTGAGTTCAGTTGGTAATGCAATTTAGAATAGAGAGTAGTCTACCAGGAGAGAAGAAAGGGAAACCTAGCCAGTAAAGCAAGAACTCTGGCTGTGTGTGCCTCCAGCCTTTGCGGGTGGCTGCAAAGCCGCGGGAAAACGGCTTTCTCATGAATGTGTACCCCAAAAGTTGTGTACCAGATGTAGCACGAATTCTAATTGGTATTTATAATAAAAACCCAGAGTTAGAAATAGGTGTCAACGCTGAAGATCAGAGAAGCAGAGTGACCAGTCATTAGAGTTCTTACCTCTACCAATGCTCAGACCAAAGGGGTGATCCTGTCCTCAGACTGCATCCTCTCAGACTGACTGCCTCAGACTGCACTGGTCCTCAGACTGCATTGAACTCCTGTCTCCTTCTACCTTATATTTCTCTCCGCCCAGCCACATCACATCACTCCTGTCTCCACCTCCCTAGTGCTGGCATTAAAGGCATATGATCCCAAGTGCTGGAATTATCTTCGTATGAACTCTGTTTTCTATTTTAGACTGTATCAATTTTGTGTAGTCTGGATGGCCTTGAACTAACCATCTGATTCCTGAGTCCTGGGATTAAAGGTGTGTGCTACCACTACCTGGCCTCTAGTGACTTAGCTCTGCACTCTTCAGGAAGCTTGATTAGTTAAAACAAACAAAATATCACTACACTTTGGACTCACCAAGACAGGATAGATAATGGAGTATTTTCCTCTGAAATTGTCGAATGCAAATGGACTAGACATTGTTGCTATACTCATTGCCTGTATACATTGCATATAGTTATCATATATAATTAGTTATATATGTACTTATTGTATATAGTTTTTCTTATATTAATTATAGTCCTCTTTTTTATTTTAGACAAAAAGTAAAAATGTTGTGATATTTTGTTTTAGTGAATGTGCTGCCCAATTGCAGCAGAAGACCCCGATATTCTGGAGACTTCAGGGTCACTGGATGGACACCAAGGACAGCATTGCCTATGGTGTAAAGCCAGGCTGAGTCTAGGAGACGAGCTGTGTAGGTTGTAGAGGGTGGGACCAGAGAAGTGATTTGGGCCCTTTGGAGAAGTCCAAAGCATTGTTTTGGATTCCAAAAGTCGAATACTGAGATTTACACTGTTGGACTCTGGTTTTGGATCCCAGAAGTCAGATACTGAGATTTACACTGTTGGACTTTGGTTTTGCTTTGTTCGTATTATGACTGGGCCCGTGTTCTTCCCTCTTGAAACAATTATTTAACTGATCACAGTTACAAGACATTGAAATTTTAAGGGGAGTTTGGGGTTTTATAGAGACTTTAGATTTTTAAAGAGAATAATTTAAAAGTGTTTGGATTTGTAAAGACTGAGACTTGGTAAGTTTTCAAAACAGTATATAATGTGATACTGATGTAAATGCATGACTTTGGGAGAGAACAAGAAAGGAAAGGGTGTGACCTAACGGTGATATGCTTGTATGTCAGTTGCTAAGGAGTCAATTGTGCTAGATAGTTTTATGTGAACTTGACAAAAGCTGAGAAGAAGGAAATTCTTGGACATTTTCTTAATTAGTGCTTGATATAGGAGGTCCCAGTTCATGGTGGGAGGGAATACCCCTAGGATGGTGGCCCTGGATTCTGTAAGAATGCAGGCAGAGTAAACCATGAGGGAGCAGCACTCTTCCAAGCAGCTTTTGATCCCTGACTTCCTTCAGTGATGAACACTGGTGTTTAGGTGTCAATCAAGTAAGTCCTTTCCTCCCCAAGTTGTTTCCTGTCATGGCATTTCAATGCAGTAACAGTATCACATATTGGTTATTTACAGAGAACTTTATACAGGCTTATTAGATGACAGCTTTCTGCTCATATTAGTCTTAAGAACTGCTTATTCATAAAACATACTAGAAAGAATCTTCCATGGCTTGTCATACTACAGCTCTGGATTCTCCAGAACCAAAAAATTACCAGCAGACTAATGGCAAGTTCATTCCAGTAGAATTCCAAATGTTATAAAACTGTATTCATTGTAAGAAAATACAGCAGGATCTTCAGAATATACAGTATTTCTGAGTATTAATAGTACCATTTAAATTATTTTAGCCACAGACCTATGAGGCTATACAAAAACATGAAACAAGTGAGACATAGCAATATTAAAATACAGCACAAAAAGCATATTTCTGCTGCCTACATATCATGACCATTTTTACAATTCTCAGATTTCAAAACTCATTCAAAAATCCAATTCTGCCATTCTTATGAACCACTAAAATATACAATCATGTTTTGTATCATAGCATATATAGAATAATTAAGAACAGATGGGCAATCAACGTCAAGTGGATTTACTTTATATTATTTGAATTATAAAAAGAGATTTCATCAAAGAGGAATATATGAGGGGAGAATAAAATACAAGTGGCACTTTATATTATTGATACAAGAAATATGGGTTGGTTCTTATAGTTTTTGGTGGGGATTTTTTTTTTTAAATAGTTATTTATTATGTCTGCATGTATGTCTGCTGGCCAGAAGAGGGCACCAGATCTCATTACAGATGGTTGTGAGCCACCATGTGGTTGCTGGGAATTGAACTCAAGACCTTTGGAAGAGCAGGCAATACTCTTAACGGCTGAGCCATCTCTCCAGCCCTGGTGGGGATTTTTGTATAATGATTTTAATTGTTTTTTTGTTTTGTTTTGTTTTGTTTTTTGCCTGAGATTAGCCTTGAATTTACAATGCTTGGGTTGTAAATGTGTGCCACTGTTAAGCCTTGGTTAGCCTTGAACTTGCTGTACTGGGGTTATGGATGTGTGCATCTCGTTAAGAAAACATGGTTGTCATTAACTCAGCCAATAACATCGTAAACACACCTGTGCTTGTGATACACTGTAGTCTGCTGGACCTGGAGCAGCTTTTCCAGTGTCAGAGGCAAACACATCAGCAGTTTTTCTGGAACTCAGAGAAAGAAATGGTGCATAGCCACCTACAAACAAACAAAAAAAACATCACCACTGATGCATAGTATTAGATAAGAAAGAGTTCTGAGAAAATATACTCAGAATATACATAATCATTGAGTACCCTCAGGATTAAGACTGTATTTTCAGAATGAACAGCTATTTGCACAAGTTAAAACATTTTTTAAATTCTCATGTAGGATCACAATTTTTATGAACATCCATTAAATATAAGACCCTATAGGAATGAACATCTTGAACAAGAGAAAAAATAGAAAATTCTGTTTTCTTATGTGTGTATGTGCGTAAGAATTACCATCTTGTGCATGTGTGTCCAGGTGTGAGTGCATGGGGGCCAGAGGTCAGTATCAGGTGTCTCTGTCCACCACTTTCCAGCTTACTTGTTGAAGCAGGGTCTCTCAATGAGCCTAGACATCTCCAAAGTTTGACAAAACTAGCTTGTCAGTGAGTCTGTCACCCCAGCCCCCAGCCCCACCCTAGCGCTGCACTAAGGTTACAGGACCACACTACTGTGGTGGATTGTGGCTGGCGCTGAGGATAAAAACAAGGACAGCAAGTGCCTTAGCCACTGTGCCATTTCATCGGCTTTCTTCTCTTCTAATTACAAGTGACCTAGCTGATAAAACAGTTTATCTATATAAGACCAAGGCTTTGCAATTTAAAATGGCAAATACTGCTTTTTAAAAATATACATATAAAGTTATAGACTGTGCTAAAAATGTATCTCTGTGATAGAATACCTATCTAGAATGCACAAGGTCCTAGGTCCTAGGTTCAATCACATCACCAAAAAAAAAAAAAAATAGAGAAACAACAAGGTGCAGAGAATTTAAACCAAATTGACAACAAGTTATTGATAATACTTTGGCACACAGTGCTCAGTAAATATCTCCTGATTGCCTAATAAACTTCACTGGACAAGCAATCATGGTATGACACAAATTTGGGTAACCTGATAAATTCATTATAAGAAAAGAAACAGGACTTCATAATATCCCTATTATTCATATTAATCGATGTTAGGGTATACAGCAAATATGTGTGATTTAAAACTATGTATATAAAAATGAGCAATGAAAAAGAAAGCTGATATTCATTAAATCTTCATTGAAGTTACCCAACATTAATCACACAGACTCTTCTGAAAATGAGCTGGAGGACAGATGGAGTTATGAGTACAAGAAAACACACAAAAAAAAACCTAAAAGTTGTAATCATAATTTCCACCAAGAAAGGTTCTCTTCTGTTTTATTTGTAGCTTTGTACTAATGTTTACATGTTTCTCAGGATTTCCGACTGTCCTAGTTTTCTCCAAACATGGGACTGAGAGTGCTAAAACTAGAAACTTCTATACAGCCAGGATGATGGATCACCTTATCATAATATTCTGCACAATCAACAATAAATAACTGGTATTATACATTACACATTTAGTTGGCCATTCAAAACACTGAGTATTTTATTATGTACATCATAAGCCTGCATAATAATGAAGGTACAGTAATAAGATAAAAATCGAGTTTCAAGTAAATAAGTTAGATAAAGAAAGAATTATATTACTATCTGTGCTGCCAATAACTAAGGTACAAAATATAGGAGAGGGTTCTAGGAAATTCACATTAGTAGAGTTTGATTCGGGGTGTACAGTTAAACGACATATGAAGGACCAATTTTAAATGATAAATCAAACTGACAGGAAGGAGAAATTAAGAACATAGAAGGAGAAGAGATTTGAAAGGAATGAATTCAGTTTGGGATATATTGAGTTTGATGTGCCAACAGCAAAAGATAAATCAAACTGGCACAAAGCAATAAAAATCCATTTGGAAAAAGATATCCAGTATGTGAAGAAAAGATATGTAGTCACAATGACAGTCACAAAGCAACGGGCATTCTTCACAAACAAAACAACTAGCTCATTGAGGCAGGCACTCATCTGGGAAAACATCAATCTGTACAGCAATTACAAAACAATAATTATTTAAACCTATATATCAACTGCACTCTCTGATGTGGAGTCTCTACATTATGATTAGATAGTATAGTAAAATCATCCTTGTTTGCATACACATATCGGCCCATCAATAGAACCACAAACAATCTCCTCCCACCCTGCACTGGGGGCAGATAAACCTTCCCTCTCAAAGAAGAAATCTATAAAAGAAAGCATTTAAAAGAGGTTGTCCATCTTAGACAGCAAATATATAATCTTTATAGACAACTAACATGGAGCTATGCTGGAAGCTATTCATTTTATAAGTGCATTTAAAAAGCAATGAAATATTCCTAAAGCCATACTAGAATAGACATATTTTTAAAAGAATGTTTTCTCATGGTAAGGTGACAGGTAGCTTCTTTTAGACTAGAATAACCGTTTCTAGGGAAACTTTGGTTTGGGAAGATATGCTTCCTTCTCATATTAGTTGTGAGAAAACAAGGCACAGCTCTTGCTTTATGAGGAATTTCAGTATTCATTTTCTTTCCCAGTCATAAAAGTGCAGCAGCTCAGTCCTGCTCCATTAGGATGCAAATCCTGGATAGGTTATTCTTGATCAAATGACTAACATATTTAGTATATTAAACAGAATTTGCTGAGGAAAATGTGGAGTTACTATACTGGAAGTCTAGCCAAACAAGATAAAAAGGAGATAAAAACAGGTTGAGAATAACTTCACCTAATGCTACAAAACGTGTTGCTCTTGTGAGGCTTGCTGTAATAATTAAGTTATACAAAGTCCTAACATCTACCCTTCCTACATCAGCTCTTAGCATATACCTGATCTTTCACTTACATAAGAATGCACAGATCTCCCCGATGCAGTAAGATATCTAATATAGAGATGCATGAAGGAGCATGGGAGCTGTTTAAAAACTGTCTTGCCAAGGAACTGAGCACAGAAATGGACAGAAACACCTGTTCCATCCATTATAAACATGCTGTCCTGAGTAGCGCACATGCACACAAACACACACACCTCTCCTGAGAGTTCCCAAACACAGAATTTTTTAGTTTATGTGAAAGGTGAATAAAATAATCCTTTAAGTGAGTATAGAAGACTTGTTGCTTGTCCTTGTTTTGTTTGTTTGATGTGTGTGTGTGTGTGTGTGTGTGTGTGTGTGTGTGTAGACTTGTGGAAGACAGATGACAATTGTGGGAGTCAGTTACCAAACATAAGCCATCAGACTTTGCAGCAGGTGTCTTTACCCACTGAGCCTTCTCACTCACCTCATAGGAATGTGTAATGTGGTTTATTAGTTTATACTTTATTACAAGGCAGTAAATATCATGATTACTGCTCTCAAGTAGTTCACAGTTTAGTGGGACATTCACATATATTAACAGTAATTACAGAATCAAACTGCTACCCAAAAGAAGTCACCATAAAGGGGAAGAAAAAGTTAGAATTTTATTTTTTTTTAATTTATATATTAAAGATTTCTGTCTCTTCCCCACCGCCGCCTCCCCTATCCCTCCCCCTCCCCCAGTCAAGTCCCCCTCCCTCGTCAGCCCAAAGAGCAATCAGGGTTCCCTGCCCTGTGGGAAGTCCAAGGACCACCCACCTCCATCCAGGTCTAGTAAGGTGAGCATCCAAACTGCCTAGGCTCCCACAAAGCCAATACGTGCAGTAGGATCAAAAACCCATTGTCATTGTTCTTGAGGTCTCAGTAGTCCTCCTTGTCTGCTATGTTCAGCGAGACCGTTTTTATCCCGGGCTTTTTTCATACCCAGGCCAGCTGGCCTTGGTGAGTTCCCGATAGAACATCCCCATTGTCTCAGTGTGTGGGTGCACCTCTCGCAGGCCTGAGTTCCTTGCTCATGCTCTCTCTCCTTCTGTTCCTGATTTGGACCTTGAGATTTCAGTCCGGTGCTCCAATGTGGGTCTCTGTCTCTCTGTCTCTGTCTCCTTTCATGGCCTGATGAAGGTTAATATTCAGGAGGAAGCCTATATGTTTTTCTTTGGGTTCTCCTTCTTATTTAGCTTCTCTAAGATCACGAATTATAGACTCAATGTCCTTTATTTATGGCTAGAAACCAAATATGAGTGAGTACATCCCATGTTCCTCTTTTCGGGTCTGGCTTACCTCACTCAGGATAGTGTTTTCTATTTCCATCCATTTCAATTGAATATCAAGAACAACTAGGAACAAGCCAGATGACAGAGGAACACAGAATATATTAGACACAAGTATTAGCAGGTACAGAGGCACAAAAGTGACAGAATGATCTTAAGAAGATTATCAAGTTAGAATTGCAGAACTGTAGTCAAGAGTAGAAGCAATGTCCAGATCTTTGGAGAGGTGGGATTAAGTGGAACACCAAACCCAAGATGAAAACATAAAGAATTCTATTGCCATTGAAGAGTCCAGATTTTTAAGCCCAGTGTTATGAAAGTACGTTTTTGTGTCAGAATCCACAGATGTGGCTTGTTTCCACTGTGACTAAAGGTCTGAGTGTTCAGGCTTATTCTTGCCCCTTCAAAGTTATTGACAGGAAGTTTGACTCAGGGTGTGGTTACTTGATGCTGTGATATCTTTGAGAAGGTGATTACTTTGTTTGTTACTTGTATACTAGCAGGGAAGTCTTTTGTCTTCCCTGTTTTTGGATTGGGGCATTTAAAGCTCAGGAGAAACAGACATAGGCGGGTACAGCATTTACTGAGTTACCTTCCTGACTTTATCCTATGTCTCTTTTCTTTTGTATCTTTAATTTTTCTACCTGCCATTTCTTAATCTTCACACTTCCCTCCAAGTATGGACAATTAACGCTGATGTTATTACCTGGACCTGGGATACAGCAATTTTGTTTTTCAAGTAATATATATTTTTTAAAACGATGAGTATCAAAGACTATAAAAGCATCATAGGTGTGCCCATTGTGGGTAAATACTAAGATGTTGGGGAATAAATGCTTATAACATCTCAACTGTATTTGGCATATGTTCCATAAATAACGAGGACAGATGCAAAAAAAAGCAATAAAATTTGAGATCTGAAATACAGATGACAAATTTTAGCATATCCAGAGAAACTTCAACTAACCATAATCTGAGCAGGGATGTAAACAGAATACTTAACTCCTGGACTATTAGGGGGGGGGGATGAAGGCATTTTATATCTATTGAAAATGCAGGTTTAAAAAAGAAAACACTGGATTTTATATGGTATTAAATTTTTAAAAGCAGAAAGCCAATTAGAAATATTTAGTACAAGTTAAGCCCAATTCAAGAACTGAAAAATAATTAGAAGAGAAACCAAATAACTACTTATCAGTCCCTAGGCCAGCTCTCAAGAACAAAACTTTTCATAAAATGTAGAAAGAGGTTCTCAG